CCCACATGCAAGAAAAGTCAGTGCTCTTAACTGCTGAACCATCTCTCCAGCCCCCAAGTTACTCTTTCTTTAATGTGGTACTGCCACTATAAAAGAGATCAAAATGTGTCACTGAAAAAAATTAAAGGATAGAATGACTAATCTTGGTTGTGAACTTGATGGGATTTAGAATCGCCATGGAAACAAAAGCTCTGGGTATATATCTGTGGGGTAGTTTCTGGATTAGGTTGATAGAGGTAGGAAAATCCACATAAATGTGGTGGAGACATTCCATGCACTGGGGTCCCAGACTAAATAAAAAGGAGAAAGAACTGAGGATCATTTATCTCTCTGTTCCTGAATGTGGATACAGTGTGACCAACTGCCTCAAGTTTCTACCCCCATGACTTAGCCACCGTGATGGACTGTGCCCTCAGACTGAGCTATCATAAACCCTTACATTGCTTTTGTCGGAATGTTTGTCACAGCAATGAGAAAAGCAACCAATACAAAGGTAAAGAGGAAACAAGAGACAAAAAATGCCATCAGAAGACAGAAACAGGGCCAGTGAGATGGCTCCATGAGTAAAAGTGCTTGCCCCTGAGTTTGAGCCTTCAGCCCACATGGTGGAAGGAGAGAGCAAACTCCCACAGTTGTCCTCTGACCTCCACAGGCACACCTCCCCCAATAATAGATGAATAAATATAAAATATTTTTAAATATTTTATTATTTTTATTTTATGTGTATGCGTGTATTGCCTGCATGTAGGTAAATGCACCCATATCGTGCAATGCCCACAGACGACAGAAGAGGCTTGTCAATGCTTTGCTATCAGTGCTTACTTTAAATGTATGTATTAAAATCCCCAATCAAAAGAAATGTTGGCTTAAGGGATTTTTTAAAAATATATTTTTATGTGTATGAGTGTATTGCCTGGATGTATATAAGTGCACCCGTGTTGTGCAATGCCCGTGGAGGTCAAAAGGTGTCAGATGCCCTGGAACTAGAGCTACAGATAAGTGTTAACCACCATGTGGGTGCTGGGAATCAAACCTTGGTCCTCTTCAAGAGTAGTCAGTGCTCTTAACCACTGAGCCATCCCGCTAGCCCTTGCTTAATGGATTTTTTTTTAAAGATCCAGTCATATTTTCCGTAAGACACATGCTTTTTATCTAAAGCTACACATAAGCTGAAAGTGAAAAGATGGAAAAAGACAATCCATATAGTAACCAAAGAGAGGAATGACTATATCAATCAAAATGGAATTTAAACAAAAAAATATATATATTATGGGACCAAAAGAAGGACATTGTGCATATGCAGCAAATATAACAGCTCCTAAGTACGTGATGAGAACTGTGACCGAATTGGAGGTTGAAACAACAACACAATAATGGGATTTCAATGTCCCACTTTCAGTAACAAAGAGAACAATTAAATGAAATGTCAAAAAGGAAATGGTGTTGAACAACACTATGGACTAATTGGACCTAACAGACGTACAGAATTCTCCACTCCAACAAGGGCAGAATGTACTTTCTTCTGTCTAGGGCATGTAGAGCATTCCCCGTGATAAAGCACATTAGGCCATGTAACAAGTCTTGACAAATGCATGATGTTGAAATAATGCAAAATATCTTTACCAATTACAATGGGATAACACTTGCAATGCCACAAAGAAAACTGGAAATATACAAATATGTAGAAATTAAGCAACACATTCTTTTATATTTAAAAAAAATTGTGTGTGAGTGTGTGTTGTCTGCATGTATATAAGTTCACCCGTGTCATGCAGGGCCTGCAGAGGACAGAAGGCATCAGTTCCCCTGGAACTGGAGTTAATGGACAGTTGTTAGCCACCATGTGGATGCTGGGATTCAAACCTGGGTCTTCTGCAAGAACAGCCAGTGCTCTTAACTGCTGAGCCATCTCTCTAGCCCCAGCAACACATTCTTAAATAACTAATGTAGTAAAGAGGTCACAAATATTAGGCAATACCTGGAGACAAATGAAGATGGGAATGATAAAAGTGGCACTTGAATGTATGAATTCCAGTGGGGGGTCTAGTGCTAGTGGGGATGGGGGTATAATGATGATTAAGATTGATTGAGATGTTCTGTATGAAATACACAAAAATTCCATAAAAATAAATTTTTAAAAAAAAATTTTAAAGAAAAATTTATAGCTATGTGGCCATGGTAGCACACACCTTTAATCCCAGCACTTGGGAGGCAGAGGCAGGAAGATCTCTGTAAGATGGAGGCCAGCCTGATCAACATAGTGAGTTCTCGGCCAGCTGTGGCTACAGGGAGATCCTGTCTTTAAAAAAAAAATCAAAAAATGTACAGCTGTCAAATGAATACAAACAGAATATACAGGAGTCCTGGTGGCCCATGTGTGTAATATCAGCACTCTGAAGAGAGAGAGAGACAGGGAGACCTCTGTTTGTTCAAGGCCAACCTGATCTACACAGAGAGTTCCAGGACAGCCAGGATGTCCTAGTTTGCTTCTCTGTTGTGATAAAACACTGACCAAAAGCAGCTTGAGGGAGATTTATTTCAAGTGTTTATTTCATCCTACAGGTGACAGTCCCTCATAAGGAAGCCAAGGTGGTAACTCAGGGCAGGAACCATGGAGGAACACTATTTACTGGCTTGCTTAGGTACCTTTCTTATGAAGCCCAGGACCACCTGCCTATGGATGGCACTACCCACAGTGGGCTGGGCCCTCCCACATTAATTACCAATTAAGAAAATGCCTCACAGAGACTTCTCTGGGAAATTCTTCAGTTGAGGGTCTCTCTTCCCAGGTGACTCTAGGTTTGTGTCAAGTTGACAGGTGAATCAAACTATGACGGGGCTACAAGAAGAGGGAGGAACTTAATCTGAGGATGCCTGACTAAAATAAGACCACAGCATACAATATCACCAACCTAACCTCTCCCATTAAATTAAAATTTAGGTAGAATTAAAATTAAACCCTAAGCTAGCAAAAAGTTAAAAGTAAAACCAACAGTTGATCTTTGAGATAAAAAAAACTGACAAGTAGCCAAAGAAAAAAGTGAAAACTAAAATCATAATGAAAAACAATCATGATAAGAAAATAAAGAGAATTATAAAAGGATATTATTGTCGATTGCACACCATCAAATTGGATAAATATAAGAGAAATGGAAACATTCCTAGGACCATACAAAAAACCAGGATTGAATCAGGAAGGTGAAGAAAATCTGAAGAAGACTGAATCACTAATCTATCCCCCTCCCAAAAGCCAAAGACCAGATGGTTTTACCAGAGAATTCTATCAAATGCTAAAGAAGAGCTAACACAAATTTTTCTCATCCTAAACTGTGGTTTCAAACCCTAAGCCCATCACTCTTTAGCTTTATGACCCTGTTTACTTCGCTTCTCTGTGACCCAAGGTCTTCATCCATAAAGTGGGGCTATCCATAGCACTTACCTCTTGAAGTGTCAAATGTGTAGCTACTATAGTATCTCTATCTATTGTCTCCAGTATTAGCTGTCAGCATGTTACTATTTGACAGGGTTTAATGACTATGGATTTGCAAGATACTTCTCCTTTTAATATAGTGTTGTTCTGTGAAAAAGATGAATTTTCATTTATTTTATAGACAGGATCTCACTATGTAGTCCTGGTTGACCTGGAACTACTGTGTTCATATGGCTCTTTTTTTTTTTTTTTTTTTTTTTTTTAAGTCTTTTTGAGACAGGGTCTCCTTGTAGCCCAAGCTGGTCTGGAACTCACTTTGTAGACCAGGCTGGCCTTGAACTCACAGAGATCCACCTGCCTCTGCCTCCTGAGTGCTGGGATTAAAGGCATGTGCCACCATGCCTGGCATGGCTCATTTTTTAAGACAGGAAAGAATTTTTTTTTTTCTTTTTGAGACAGAGTCTTCCTGGCCTAGAGCTTACTACGTAGACCTTGAACTTACAGACATCCACCTGCCTCTGCCTCCCAAGGGCTGGGACTAAAGGCATGTGCCACCATGCCCAGCAAGAATTTTTTCTTATTTTTTTTAAGATGGGGATCTTGTTATGTAGCCCAGGTTGGCCTCAAACTCACTTCATAGCCCCAGACTGACCTCAACCTTCAAATGATCCTCCTGTGTTTACTACCAAATGCTGAGATTACAGGTGTATGCAACCACACCTGGCTTGAAAGACAATTTTTTTACACCAAGCAATGCTAATAAAAATTTTATTCCTGGGGGGCGGGAGAGGGTGGTTAAGAGTGCTGACTGCTCTTGTAGAGGACCCAGGTTTGGTTTCCAGCACCCACATGGTAGCTGACAACCATTCATAACTCCAGTTCCAGGAGCTCTAACACCCCTCTTCCAACCTCCATGTGCATTGCACAACATGGGTGCACTTTAGATACATGTGGACAAAATACTCATACACAAAATAAAAATAAGCACCCCCCCCTCAATTTTTTAAGTCTTATTCTTGAGGCTGGAGAGATGGTGCAGCAGCTAAGAGCACTGGCTGCTCTTGTAAAGGACTCCAATTCAGTTCCCAGCACCCACATGGTAGCTTACATCCATCCTTAAATCCAGTTCCAGGGGATCTGACACCCTCTTCTGGCCTCCGTGGGCATTGCATGACATGGTGCACTTATATGCAGGCACAATCAAAATAATTTTTTTAATCTTATTTTTAAATTTTAGGATCATTTTTGCCTTAATGTAATATATATTGAGTACATACTAACAGACATGAGGCTTCCTGTGACTGGCCATGTCTGGTTATTCTGTGCATGCCTCGTGTATTAGGCCACCTGGAATATTACTTGTCTCAGAATATGTACTTTCTAATATTGCTGTGATATTCTGCACATTCTTACTAAGCAGAACGTTCAATGACATCTTTGAGAAAATAGATATAAGTCTACATTTAGAAATAGAGCCAGAAGTGATGGGGATATGGCAAAATAATCTCTGTATCTCATTTGCAAATGTCTTTCCTTTCAATCCCCACCTTCACCCCCAAATAACCCTTAGAGCCCCTGACAGAAGAAATGAGGAAAGAAGATCATCTCTGAAGGTGCGGGTCGGGGTCCGTTGCTTGGCCTTTCTTCAGATTCCCTGCCCCACCTGGTTGCAGGGGAGAAAAGACACCTGACTCCAAGGTCGCCACAGCCTTTGTAAGAAATATGGACCTTCATTTCATAATAAAAGCACTGGAGACTAGTGGAAACCAAGACAGTTTATTTCATGACCTTGCAAAGCTGGTCAGCCTAGATTGGAAGGCACACTAGTCGACTGAGAGCAGAGAACAGGTTTTTTTTGTTTTGTTTTGTTTTAAAATAATTTTAATGTATTTTTATTCAATGTTTGTGCACTTCATACAATAAATCTTAATCATATTTAGACCCCCCCATCATCTACCCTCTCCAACCCCCCAATCAGATTTCATGCATCCTGCCACATATGTTAAGGCCTATCGAGTCAAGCTTTTATACCCAGATATCTCTCAGTGCAAGTTTATCCACTTGGAGTCTATTCAGCCTATCTAAAGTCTCTCCCTTAAAGATCAGCTCTTCCTCAGTAGTAATCAGTTTTCCTAGGCTAGAGTTGGCAACTGTTGCCCCTTTCTTCGGGTCTATTCTGGATTTTTGTCTGATTGAGTCTACATAGGTCTTGTGCATGCCATCACCACTTCCGCAAGTTCATATTTTATGTGTATGTGTGTATTGCCTGCATGTAGGTAAGTGCACCCACATCATGCAATGCTCGTGAAGGGCAGAAGAAGCTGTCGGATCCCCTGGGACTGGAGTTACAGACAGTTGTTAGCTGCCATGTGGGTGCTGGGATTTGAACCTGGTCTTCTGCAAGAACAACCAGTATTCTTAACCACTGAGCCATCTCTCCAGCCCCCATCTTAAATAATTTTTTAAGTTAGTGTAGAAAGTAATGAGTCTCATTATAGTTTTCATACTTTTATGTCACTATCCTTTGTTCTTATTCATGCATTTCCTCAACTGCCTTCACCATCTTGCCTCCTGTTGCCCCCATCTCCACCCATATACCATCCCCTTCTGCTTTTGTGTCACATGTGTTGAGGTCACATCTGTTCTTCCCCTAGTGTGTTCCCATTTCTAGTTTCATCACACACATATACACACACACACTTAAAACTAAATTATGCATATGGGAGAAAACGTCACTTTTGTCCTTTTTATTTCACTTAACATAATGACTTATAGTCCCCTCCGTATTCCTGCAAATCCCATGGTTTCGGTTTTCATTAGGGCTGAATAAAATTCCACATGTTCTTTTTTTATTGACTATTTGTGTATTTCATACAGAATATCTTAATCTTAAACATCTTTATACCCCCTTCCCCACTGGCACCCTCCCATAGCCCCTGCACTGGGATTCATACATCCTATCATTTGTCTTAAGGCCTATTGTGTCAAGCTAGTGTCCCCAGATGTCCCTCAGTGCAAATTCTTCCACTGAGGTCTAATCAGCTTACCTAGACTCTCGCTTTTTGAAGACCAGCTCTTTCTCACTCATCAGTAATCAGTTGCCAATATTTCTTCAGACAAGATTGGGACCTGCTGCCCATTTTCCCAGTTCTATACTGGGTTTTTGTCTGTTTGAGTTTGCATTGGTCCTGTGCATGCTGACATCATTGCTATAGGTTCATATGAGCAGAGACCCAGGAGTTTGTAGGACTCTATTTCCATATGGTTATGCATCTCCTTCCTGGCTCTTACAGTCTCTCCCCCCCCCACTTCTGCAATGGTTCCTGAGCCCTAGCTTAATATAGGAGTCCTGTCCAAGGACCAGCATTTTGTAGATTGTTATTCTCTATACTTTGGCCATTTGTGACATATTTTGTTCCATGAGGGGGAGGGAACAGTTTTTAAACCTTAACAAATGCCCCTTCCTTCCTTTCTTCTGTAGCTGAGCTATCAAGAGTATGTATACTCTTACATGTCATCTAGGTCTTGTCTTTCCCTCTACCACTTGCTTTTGTCTTTTTCTCAGTAAAAACCATGTGTGGGTTCACCTCTACATTGTACTACTGTTTGTTTTAAAGCTTATCAGGATGTGACCTTGTCACTGGTCTTTAGGCAATCTTGGCTCTTAGTAAATTTGTGCCATGCTTTCTGTCCTTCTATTTTAAGTGATGTTTGGGCTTCATCACATTTTACACAATAGGATAGGACATAATGGGATCTTCTTTGACCCACCAACCACCAGCAGTCTTTTGTCTCCTCAGTTATAAGCAGGCTGGTTAAGTGATTCTGTATGATTCAAATTGTAGACTTCAAAGATGTGTGTTCTTATAAACTGTCATTGTTAAACCAAAGGAGAGATAAACTTACATCAAGGAATGGGAAGTCATTATAGAAAGACAGGTTTGCTTTTAGGTTTTGTTTTTTCTTGTTGATGTTGTTTTGGTGATGATGGTGTTTTTACTTTTTATTTTGGGATTTTTCAAACATATACAAATTATAACATAATAAGCCCTGCTGTATTCATGACCCAGGTTTGCCAACCGACATTCTGCCATCCTTATTTCTACTGCCACTTATTTCCAATCCCCACTTCAATTTTTCTGTAGCTCAGTTTTGTAAGGCAAATGTTTCTACATTGAAATACACAAGTATTTTAACTGTACAACTGACAAATGATAGACATTTCTCTCAAGATATAGAATATTTCTCTTGACCTAGAAGTTGGCTTTTGTCATTCCCTATCAACACCTCTTTTCAGAGGCAATATTATACCTTTGCCTGTTCTAGAACATGTACACAGAATTACATGGTATATATTCTTTACGTTATTTTTAATTTAATCTTATGTATATGAGTGTATTGCCTGCTCATAGGTGGGTGCACCTGTGTCGTGCAGTTTCACCCATGGAGGTCAGAAGAGGGCATTGAATCCCCTGGAACTAACAGTTGTTAGCCACTATGTGGGTGCTGGGAATCAAACCCAGGTCTTCAAGAGCAAGCCAGTGCTCTTAACCACTGAGCCTACTCTCCAGCCCCTACATGGTATGTATTATTTCGCTTGTTTGAATATTTATTTTTATTTGTGTGTGTGTGTGTGTGTGTGTGTGTGTGTGTGTGCGCATGCGTGCACATGCAGGTCAGAAAAGGGTGTTGGATCCCCTGGAATTACAGGTAGTTGTGAGCTGCCTCGTATAGGCACTGGAAACCAAACTTCAGTCCTCTGCAAGAGCACTAAGTATTCTTAACCACTGAGTGATCTCTTCAGGTCCTATTTTCTTGTTTGTTTTCTGAAAAACTGGTCTCTTATTCATGTAGTCCAGGCTGTCCTGGAACTAGATATCTTAAATTCCTGATCCTCCTGCCTTCATCTTCCAAGTTCTGAGATGATAGATGTGTACCGCCATGCCACCTTCAATTCATTGACTTCTGCTTTGTTTTTATTTTTTCTGCTGATTCCTTAGTTTTGGACTTAATCCTCCCCCGCTTTTTACAACTTTTTTCCCACATTTCTTTGTTTGTGTGCATGTGTGTGTTTGTGTGTATGCTACCATGTACCGGTGGAAGTCAAGGGCAATTTTGGAGAGTTCGTTCTCTCCACCATTTTGGGTCCCTGGGATCAAACTCAGGTTGTCAGACTAGGTGGCAAGTGCCTTTATCCACTGAACCATCTCTCTTTTTTTATTATAACCCACTAAGCCCAGGTAGTGCCACCTGTATGTGCCTGAGTGTGGGGCCATCTACTGGAGCATGGAATCTAACAATGGCCACACCCTGAAAAAAATGAGTCTCCCTTCCCCAGCCAGTCAGTCATCTCACCAGCCCCACTGTTAGTGGCTTCCAAGTTCTGACTTAACTCCAGTCCACTGCCTGGAGTAGCAGTATTAGCTAATACCACCAGACACTAATTAGACTCAGCATTCCAAGAAGTGTGTGAGCCCAGATATGCAGAGACTCAGGGAAGAGTTCAAAGGAAGATAACAAGAGAGGCACAGACATCACGTCTTTTTTAAAAAATATTTTATTTCATGTGTGCGTGTATTGCCTGCATGTTTGTAAGTACACCCATGTTGTGCAGTGCACACGGAGTATTGTGGAGGTGGAAAGCTTTTGCAATGTGATGGTAATTAAGAACTTTGGAGCAGGAAGAGCTCCTAGACAAGAGATAAGACTGGGGAGATAAACTGGAGTCTTCCTCCATCCTGCACCCTGTGGTCGACCTGGAAGGAAGTCTTTGTAACCTTGCTTAATTATCACATGTACCTTTTACTTAATTGCCACCTATATGCTGTTTTGTCTTTTACTTGTACTTCCTCACATGAATATAAAACCCTCTAAAACTGGAGGGGGGACTGGCTCCTTTACAGAAGGATCTATGGGTCAGTCCGCTAGTGTAAAACTAAATCCCTCTCAAGGCCGGGCATGGTGGTGGCACGCCTTTAGCCCCAGCACTTGGGAGGTGGAGCTCCCAGATAAACTGTGACCTGGGATATGTAAGGTAAATAAACCCTTTTCTCCCCAAGTTGGTATTGGTCAGAGTGTTTTGTCACAGCAATGGAGAAACAAACTAGGACATCTTAACACTAATGACTTATTGACCTCAGTTCCTATTGCCTGAAAATTGGAATCTGCCTTTCAACAAAAACTGGCATGTTTCAAGGAATAAACCAATTTGAAAGGACAAAAAAGCAAAACCAGACAGCTATGGTTTGGCATGGGGTACACATTTGTAGACTCAGCTACTTTGGAGGTTGGAGCAGGAAGATCAAGAGTTCCAGGCCAGAGCTTAGCAAGGTCTCTCTCTCTCTCTCTCTCTCTCTCTCTCTCTCTCTCT